CTTTTCTCTAATAGTTATCATCATCATCACCATCATCATTATGATGATGATGATGATTTCTGAATCGCCCCATCCCTGAGTACACAGGATTCTGGGTGATTTACAGCAGGTTAAAACATACAAAATACAGATTACAATCAACAGTCAGTTTATCTTAATGGCACAATCTCCAGATGGCGTCTGTAATTTAACTTAAAAACCTACTCTGGAGTGTTCTTCCACTTCATGGGCAGGTCAGGGGTCATTTCGTAGAAAAAGAGCTAGGGGAACTCATTAGCATACCTCATTAGCATATGCCACACCCCCTGACATCAGAGGCCCGGCGCTGGACCTGCAAGGCCAGCGGGAGTGCGAGGAAGCCCTGCCAAGGCCCTCCCTGGCCCCAGGCAGGCAGGGGTGGGGAGAGGCGGGGAGGAAGCAACTTTCCCTCCCTCTTCTCCTGCCTCCTCCTGGCTGAATGAGGGCTGGAAGCGGGGCAGCCGGAAGTGGGGGGCGGGGCTTCATCATGTGCCCCACCCCCCTGCACCTCACCCGGAGGGAACTACGTTCCCCCGCATTCCCCCCCGAAATGACCTCTGGGGCAGGTTATGGAGGAGGCCAAAGTGGGCAGGGTAGGAGTAAAGAGAAGGCTGCCAGCTATGATCCATTTTTAAACCTGTGACAGGTTTATTTTTGAACTTCTGACTGCAGGGACCCCAAAGTCTGAGAAGACTCAGATTCTAATCTGCTCAGAGGTGCTCTGCTGACAGTCAGCAGATCTTTCCTTCTCACAATCTTTGTGTTAGGTCCTTGTTCACCTTAAAACACAAATATCACAATAAAGATAAGGCTACTTCCTTAGGTTTATTTGTTTTGCCACATTAAAATCCTATGCTATATGCACAATAATACCAATACCACTAATTCCTCCTCAACTTTCATACTATTCTTTAATAAAACTTCCTTAAACTCCTTTTCTCTAAATAATTAACTAAATCAAGATTCCCCAGAGTTTCAGACAATTTTCTTAAATTACATTTTGTTTTCTCATTTAATACTTCTTCTAAGTTTAGACTTTACCCAATACATCTTCTCGTTTCTTTAGCTTCTTGGTCCACTCTGTAATTATCTTTTTATAATAATTCACTTGAGTGGCAAATCTGTGTCTCTTTAAATTTAGAGATTTGTTGGTCATATTGTCCCAAGTTTTTTCTCAATTAGGATTCCCCCCCCCTATCTAATTTAATATCCATTTGAACTTTCGTTTCTGAAATCCTTTCTAATTTCTTATTTCATTCATTCTATTTTTCCTTAAGAAGTTTCTCCCAATCTAATAATTTATGAGTTAATCTGCTTTCAGAATCCTTAAATTCCTTGACTAACAACTTTAAAAATATTTACATTGATGATGTTGGTTAAACGCTTTCCTCCTCATTTTCTTGAGTGTTTGCTTTTCAGGGCACGTTTTTTAGAAAGAGGATGTCATTTTTTTCAATCACCCAAACAATCCATATATTCAAAAATTCATATTCCCACAACACCATTAATTGCACGATTAAAGAGTACAAGCAAGCAATCCCACAGCCAACTTCACTGTAATTCAAAAGCAAGGTAAAATAATTCAATCATTCATAACCCATTAGTTAAATCCTTCATATTACTCATCTTCATTTGAATAAAGTCCACAATCTAAGCTAACCAGGCAGCAGGCCAGTATTGTCTCCAACTGGCAAACCTGGATCTTGCATATTGTTTTCTTGGGATTGCTACAAACCTTGGAGCTTCTGGCCAAGGCTCCAAACAGTGGGCTAGAGGCCAGGTGGACAACTCTCCTGCACCTGCTCCCAGTTTGCTTATCCTTCTCACCTGCCTGCCTTGCTCTTAGTGCACAGGCCAGAGTCCCATCCCCAACACTCACTGGTAGCTCTGCCATGTCCTAGGGTACCCGGACTGTCCCTCATGCAGAGAGATTCCAACACTATGGGAGGGTCTGGCTAATGACCAAATGGACACCTCTCATCCAACTCCTTCCAGGTCTCTTCTACTTTTAACATTTTGCTGAACTATATTAACAAAACTGATGGGTGTGTCCAGTCATTTGCGTTTTCTGGGAAAAGGATATTGCTCATGTCAATTTTGTATTAGAATATTAATTGACTTTTGAGGATGCTGATGTACTTTTAAAGTATTTGCCTGTCTCTTGGAGGCTAACCGACGGTCAACGTGTCCTTACTTCATTTTACAATACTGTAATGATAAAAGCCCACCTCCAGTACATCAATGAATTGAGGATTTTAGAACTCTGTATCAATATTGGAAAGCCTGGCATACAGATGACAATTGCATACGGACTTATTTTTACATATTTGGAAATCGTTTATAGAAACTTGTGTAGATCTGCCATCACTGTTATATTTTTATCTCTACTTTACGTATATCTTTTTTAAAAACTTTGTTTAGCTGTAAATATTTTTTTAAGGAAACTGGTAGGTGGGGTTGCCCCCTGCAGGGGATCCTGTATGCTAATTAAATTAGCTCTACCTCCTCCGACCACATGGATTTTGCAGGACCCTTTACAAACACTACTAAGGACCATTCATGGTAAATCATAATGTTACTTCCTGCACCTATTAAGCATGCATGATGAGATAGCAGTATTTTATCTGGGAACAGATATTCCCATTTTGATACCTTATCTGAGAACAAAAAAGGCTGAAGCCCTGAGGCTTGCTAAACAACAAACTAACATAGTCCACCATCCATCATGTTGTTATTCTAGAGTCCTGGTGCAGTGATCACGTGTTACTGATATGCCTGCAAGTTCCTGCACGGTGTGTACGTGAGGGAGGTGGAGAACAAGGGTTCCCAGGTACACTTCTCCTGCCACAAGGCCGTGGGGTTGACTGACTTCTGGGATTCCAATGGCATTGCTTTCATCTCTTGGCATCTATGATATTTTCCTTGGCAAAGGAGCTACTGCCAAAGGAATCAAAATCCTGGCTGCAAGGACAAACCATTTCCCACCTGACAGTGAATGAGTGCATTAGGTATGCAGGTTAAGGTGCTGTGATATCTTTCAGACAGCATGGTTGTGCTCTCTGTCCCAGATGGCCGCAGGGATCAACGTTTGCACATGGGGGGGGGGATTTTTTTGCAAACAATACACTTTCTGTATATTAGCAGCAATGCTCCCTCTAAGCTATGGAGTTCTGTGAGCAAAAGTTCTACTTTGTGAGCTATTGGGCATTAAAGTTGTGAGCTGGTGATTTGGCTACTGCATAAGTTAGTTTGCTCTGGAGCCCTCCTTCCTGAGCTAAGACAAAAACGTGTGAGACGGAGGCTAAAAAACGGTGAGCTAGCTCACACTCACTCAGCTTAACAGTGTGAGGGCATCACTGGGGGTAACATTATCACTGAAAAGGCCTATTATCAATTCCTCAATAATAATTCAATTCTCGCTTCTAACTTTTGGAAAAATTTAGAGCATAGAATTGGCATCAAACAATAAAAGTTCATTCCTCCCCCCCCCCCCCCCCCTTAGTTAGATGATGGAGGAGGATTTTATGCTAAAAGAGTAAAATATTAAGAAGTACAACTGTATGGCTGCCTTATTTCTCAGTTTTCTGGACCTTTCCAACAGTCCATTGGATTCAACTTAACCAGTGGTTTAACCTCAAACAAACTGCAACAAAAAACCATTCTTGTTCTGAAACGCTCAGGAAGATGCTGTATCACATACAAAAAAAAATCCAAAATGACACACACACACCCCCGCACGCATGAACTCTTTTTAGAGTGCCTTTCCTGCTTTGTCAGTTAGCTCCATATAGAACTCACGTCTCTTGACATAACTGAGAGAATGAACTAGTAACCCTCGGGGGGAAAACACTTCTTAGCCTATAAATCACTATATACTTTGAATTTACATATAATTCATGATGTACTGTAATCAAAATGATCACAACATTTTAAAAAGTCTTCATTTAAGTATTGATATTCTCCAAGGAATGAAGATTAGTAAAGTTTTAGAGTATATTTTAACACACTTTTAAATATAAAGACTAATCCTAACTGTAACTTTTTCAAGGAAAAGGAAAATCAAGGAATCTGATACCTGTACACATTTTATTTTGGCAGACTCTTATATAATTTCCCACCCCTTTGTGTTTAGAACATTGTGTTTATAGAATGAACTGAAACTACTACAGCTATTTAACAGTGCACAAAAACATTTAAGAATTATTTATAACTTTTAGTCTGCTTTCTCCCATGACAAACTTAATGCAGAAAATAATGATAATGAAATTAAAAAGGAACAGTACTTAAATGCAGCTTTAAAGGGGGGGAAATAACATTTTTAAAAATTATTCAGGTCACAGTACAGCTTGCATCATACATAAATCCGAAGCTCAAGTTGTGCTCTTTCATATAGTTTGTTTCATGCTTCTATCTGAATTATTTCAAAAGACACTGGAGATAACTGGGCTGCATACAGAATGAAGTGAAAAAGCGAAAAGAGGCACCCAAAGGAGAGGCAGGAAAGATTTTTCAGAGGAAGACTTCTGGAATATGACAGAACGCATGATCCTGAACAGTTTGTTGCAGCAAATGCTTTTGTTGCAGTGAGCTGGGAAGTGCTTCATGGGACCTCAGTGGCATTGGAAGCTACGGCATTGGCTGCAAGGCAGCATAAGGGACCACTTCTGGTAGCCTTGTTCTGTCATATCTGGACTGCTGCACAAATTTTAGCTCTGGTTTGAATTGACCACAGGGACCACTTCAGAGCCACAACTTCTTTTATTAAACTTCTTAATCCTTATTATCACTTCGCCATGAGCAGGACTACTCTGAACAGAGACTATGATGGATCAATTTATCACATTCGTATCCTATCACGAATAGTGAAAATAGTGTCCGAATGACACGGCTTTCTTCTCGGAAGACATTTCAGAACTGAAAGGAGGCTGCCCATCTGCCAGATTTCTCCGGTCACTTAAAAAAATTATTTCAAAGTTACGTACCTTTTCTGCTTATATGTCAGCATGGCCTCTGCAATAGGTAACTGGTGTGCACAGTTTGCTCCTGATATATATTGGGTTATTCTGGAGACAATATCTGGCGATTCCTGGACTGCAAGAACAAACAAACACAAACAACATGATCATCTATTGTGTATTCTTGGTAAGAATGATAACATTGCAATCCTAAGGAAGGTCACTCCAAACAAAGCGCTTGTGTGCATAGTTCTTGCCAATACAGAATGTGGGTGTTCCTTGTTTCCTTTCTTATCTTAACGATGCTGTCGAGCACCTTGTTTTCATAAGGAATCTTTACTCACATCGTTTCGTGTTATGAATCATTGCAAATTGGACTTGCACTTTCCTATGTAATATGAATATTGAAATTGTGACCTTATTGTTCTTTATTGGACTTTATACGATTAGAATTTTCTAATATAATTTGTGAATTGTTTTTGTTATTGTCCACGGTATTTCTGTCTTGGTTTTGATCTTTTCCTGTGGTTCTGTCTGGTTGTATAATGCTAGAAACCTTGGTTCAAAGATGGAATATTCTAAAAGAAGGTATAACTGTAGTGGATATATCCCCTGGCGACGCCGAGGAAGGTGGGACGGGGGGGGGGGGGCTGGAAGGATTGGGGAGGCCTCCCCGTGCCTTCCTCGGCCTGTCCAAGGGCCGGCTTGCCTGGGCTCCCCGCAGCCGCAGGGCACCTGGACAAGTTAAGGGAAGGCACTTTAAACTGCCTTCCCTTCTCTTCAAGGGGGGTTTGCCCGGGGAAGCCAAGGGAAGGCATGGGGTGTGGCCTAATATAGTAATGAGCTGCACTGTCGAGGGTGTGGCCTAATATGCTAATGAGTTTCTGCTACTGGGTCTGCTCTGTTATGCTAATAAGTGCCTGCTGGGCTTTTTCTACAAAAAAAGCCCTGATCCTGAGTATATATGGGGCCAATCAGTGGGATTTGGTCATCCCTGGAAATAAACTACAGGAAGTATAGGGAAGGCCATGTTGGGGATGGTGTTGCTTTCTACCTGAAAAAGCTGAAGAAACAAAAAAGAGGAACAAACTCCCCCACAGAATTGGTGTGAGTAGAAGTTATCAGGCCTGAAAAATAACTCCATGCTTGGAGTTCTGAGAGTGATTTAAGGGTGGAGGAAGAGTCAGAGAAGATACCAAATGAGACAATGCTGTAATAATGTAGGACTTCAGTTACGGCTTTATCGCTAATTGTTAAAAAGCACGGTCACTTAGCACCTCTAGAAATGTCCTCTCTGTCACAATTTGAGCAGACGTTTGCCCAGTCAAATCACGACAGAATTTCCAGACATACTATGACCTAGAACATTAAGCAATGAAGCCAACTAGAAGTGAGGTCGGTGGCCCTCAAATTCAACCTCAGCGAAACCCAGTATTTGGTACAGGTAGGAAGAGATGCCAAACCAGTAGGAAAGACCAACAAGAGGGATATCAATGTCAACATACATGTGAGTAGTCTGACTCCTTGGAAGTCAAACACACCCATGTTTAATTGCAAAAGGGGCAACTTGTCAAAAATGAGGCAATTTTCACCTTTTAGCTGCTCACTAAGAGAAGCCCAGTACAAAATCCTTTTCAGGCGGTACCATAAGTCCAGCAAGGTTAAATAACATTGGTAGCAATATCCTGGCAAATCCTCTGTGGCTAGGACTGCCAGCTCTCCCAGAGGACCCCCCCCTCCTTGGCATCCCTCTCCCTCCACCACTGCTCAGTGAGCAAGCAGGGAAGGAACGGCTGTGGACGGTGATAAGCTGACATTGCTTCAGGTGTGTAACCAATGTTCCCTCTAAGCTGTGGAGTCTTGTGAGCAAAAATTCTACTTTGTGAACTGCTGGCATTAAAGTTGTGAGCAAGCAACTTGGCTGCTGCATAAATTAGTTTGCTCTGGAGCCCTCCTTCCTGAGCTAAGACAGAAACGTGTGAGCCAGAGGCTAAAAAAATGTGAGCTAGCTCACACTAACTCAGCTTAGAGGGAACACTGTCTGCAGCCTAATTTTACCACCATGGGTGGATGTGTCTGAAAGTGTATCAGTACTGGTTATCCAAGAAATTACAGGGGTTAGGTGGTTGGGTGTATGGAGAGTGCACTGATCCCTGCAATTTCCCTAAATGTGGGAAACTCGGCTGCCTAATTTGTGCCACAAATTATGGGGTACAGTCTCCTGCATTTGGGGGAATGGCAGGGGTCAGCACACCCTCCATACATTTTCAATAGTCATATATTGACTATTAGCTGTGCCAGCTGAATGGGACCCTCTGGTTGTCAAATGCCTCTGATGGTGAGATGCTGGGGGCAAGACAGCAGGTGAGGGGCTAGGGCATCAATCCGTCAGTTCAGGAAATGCCAGGTCTAGCCTGTGCATGCAGCAGATAAAACCGCCACGCATTTTATCAGCAAGTGGGCACTAGGCTGACAGTGAAATATTACTAATCTTCCAGGTCCCAGAGGCAAAAGAGGCAGATACCAACAATGGCTGCCAACTTCTACTAAACAGGAAGACAGCAACTGAAAAGAGAAAACTCAACAGAAGTAAACATATATATGACAAGCAAACGATATTAGCAGTAAGATATGGAAATATCTCCCTACCTCATACTGCTTCTGAACGTATTCGTTTTAAGCAGATTACTAAAATACAGAAAAAGCTAGACTAACTTTGAACAGCTGCAAAAAATCTATCACAGATGCATAACATTCCGCAGCTAAAAGAGTGATCAGTCTGCTATTATCTTCTACTAAAAGAGGTAATGTCTCCATATGATCTATATTTTGGAGCAAAGGAAGAATTAAAAGACTTCTAGGCTCAGAAGATGTGGAAATACAAGGAAGAATCAAGAGAACTCTGACCTCCATAAACAGCAGGAAGTATCAGGAAGCAAAGCAATACTTTTTCCAGGTTACCAAGTTCAAGTAGTTCATCATGCAACATCCTCACACTCAAATATCTGGACACACTCACCAGTGCTTTGAGCTTCAAGCCTGTTAAACAAGTCTCTCCAGGACAGATCTTGGAAGAAGTTGTTGTACCGGTAATCAACTGAGCCCAGATACTGCGCTACTGGGTGAGACCCTATAAAGACGACAATGACAGAACAGTATAATGTTTATCAAAATGCATAAGTAATACAGGGACTAATGTAATTGTTAAAGGAAACAGGGATGCACACGGAATGGCCGGAAGTCCTTGCCGCTTAGAAAGAAAATTCCCATTAACTGCCCTTCAGTGTAAAGATGTGCTAAGAACCAGGACTATTTTTGGGCAGGAACGCACAGGAACGGAGTTCCGGCTGGCTCCCGAGTTGGCCACGCCCAGCAGGAACTCATTAGCATAATAGGCCACACCCAACAGCAGAAACGCATTAGGATTGGCTACATTAGGGGTATGTGGCCTAGCATGCAAAGGAGTTCCTGCTACAAAAAAAAGCTCTGGGTTTTGACAACAAACAAGGTAAATAGAATAAGAAGCAAAAGGTTGGTGTGGCTGGATGACCACACTTCTGGTAACATGTGGGTGCGGCCTAATATGCTAATGAGTGGTGCTGTCAGGGGTGTTGCACAATATGCTAATGAGTTTCTGCTATTGGGTGTGGCTTATTATGCTAATGAGTTCCTGCTGGGCTTTTTCTACAAAAAAAGCCCTGCTAAGAACTGTGAACTAAAATTTTTCTCCCCCCCCCCACCCCCACAGTTCAACTCTTCTCAACGGCAAGCAACTTTCTGCTTAAAATCACATTAACCGTCCACCAACAGTATTTCGAATCAAAGTGTTGGACAAGCCACATTTAGTTAACGATCCAGAAAATGGACTACGCTATAGAAAATGGATGAGTGCACAATCCTATTAGATCAGACAAGAAGTTGGACCCGTGATACTTGGGGGGGGGGGGTATTCCCCGCAGCTCCCGGGTGGCTCACGTGCTGAAGCAGCAGGAGCTTCGCACAGAGGAGGACGCGGCAGCGGCTGCAGGTGAGCCCAGCAGGGAGTCCATTGGGCTCACCTGGATTCCCCACCCAACGACGACAGCAACGGCTGCGGCTGAGTCTAGCCACTGACCCCTCCAAGGTTTCTCCCCTGCGGCCGCAAGCAGCAAAGGTGGCGAGCCCTGTGCGGCTCTTCTCCCTCCCCCCGCTACCGCCACTTCTGCCAGAAGCAATGACGGCAAGCCCTGCGTGGCTCCTAGCCACTGGGCCGACCAGGTTCCCCCCCCCTCCAGCAATGGCCACGGCTCCCAGCCACCAGCTGCCAAGGCTTCTCTTCCTGCGCCGCCACTGCCAGCAGCCACAGTTCCTATTGGTAAGTACTTTCTCTGCGCATGTGCAGGGAAGGCTCTTTTACTTTTGGGTGGATTTAAATATCCCCCGATTACTTTTTTCAACTTTTCAGATTTTTCTCCACATCTGGGGATTGCCCCAAATGTGCAGGAAAATCTCTTTGCCCCCTAGGCGCCCCCGATGTGCACATTTAGATATCCACATGCAGGGGGCGCCTTGGCTATTAGATATATAGATTTTGTCATCAAATAGGAGTCCTCCCCCCTTTGAACTTCTCACTGGATCAGACTGCATTCTATGGGATTCTGTTGAGCAGGTCAAAGGAATTCATGCTTTAAAAAGAAAAAATCGCACACACAATGTCTGTGGAGGCCATGGCCATAGGGCAGCAAAATGTCCTTAAAGTATTCTTAGCCTACAGTTCTGGTGCAGGGGCATGGTACCTTCATATCGACAAAGGCCCCAAGACTACCTGCCCACAGCCTTCTCCGAGTCTTCCGCTGGGGCCTTTTGCCCCTCTTTACCTGGCCACACCTAGTTCCTATTTCCCTGTTCCTACTCAAGAACAAGGAGCTGCGGTGGCTCAAGTGGTTAAGATGCTGAACTGCAGGCTGTGGAAGGTCAGTAGTTCAAGACCCGGGTGCCGCATGATGGAGTGAGCTCCCATCTCTAGTTCCAGCTCCTGCCAACCTAGCAGTTCGAAAGCAAGAAATTGCAAGTAGATCAATAGGTACCACTTCGGTGGGAAGGGTACAGCGTTCCGTGCACCTCGGCGTTTAGTCATGCCAGCCACATGACCACGGAAACGTCTTTGGACAGCGCTGGCTCTTCGGCTTGGAAACAGAGATGAGCACCGCAACCCTAGAGTCGGACTCGACTGGCTTTCGAGCAAGGGAAACCTTTACCTTTTACTCAAGAACAGGACTTTCAAAGAGGCTTTTACGTGAGAGGAATCCTATTTCCCCTGTGCCTACTCCTGTGCAAGCCCTTTCCTCTCAAGGAGGTCTTGACACAAGAAGGGTCCTTTCCTCCACAGGGAGCTGCTACTGGTGGGCCTTCCTTCTGTTCCTCCCTTGCTGTTGCCACCCCCTTAGCTCTCCTCCCAGCTCTACCACTGGGCTGCTGCCCTCCTTAGGGCCATGCCCCCACTCCACCCCTTCTCCCTCAGAGGTAGGGAGCTCTGGGCTGTGACAAGAACGTTTTTTTTAAAAAAATAAAATTTTATTGTATTTAAATAAGAAATAAGACAAAGAATATAATTTCAGTAGGTTACAAAAGGGAATAAAAGGGTAGATTTTAAAACATCAACATAGCATCTTACTCATCGACTAACACAACCTCTGTTTGGTGCCAGTTTGGTGTAGTGGTTAAGTGCGTGGACTCTAATCTGGGAGAACCGGGTTTGATTCCCCACTCCTCCACTTGCACCTGCTGGATGACCTTGGGCAAGCCGTAGTTCTGATAAGAGCTGTTCTTGAAAAAGAGCACTTTCTGTCAAGAGCTCTCTCAGCCCCACCTACCTCACAGGGTGTCTGTTGTGGGGAGGGGAAGGGGAAGGAGTTTGTAAACCGCTCTGAGACACCTTTGGGTAATGAAGGGCGGGGTACAAATCCAATCTCCTCCTCTTCTTCTTCTGTGCACTGGAATTTTCTCACGTAAGCTTGAGCATCTAGGCTTATACTTAGCAGCATGTATTAGGTACCATATTACTAAAAAACACCTTTGACTTTCACATTACTAGGGATTAAGTTTAGCCATATGTCAGGAGATTAAATTTAACTACATTGGCACGCGACGAGAACGTTAACTACTGTCAAAAATATTTATATTCAAGGAAAAGAATAATGTTGAAAATGTTGTATGTTTACAGTATGGGTGTTTTTATCAGTGTTCCTGTCGAAAATATTTATATTCAAGCAAAACAAAATGTTGAAAATGTTGTATCTTTACAGTTTTTATCAGTGTTCCTCAGAAGTCCTCAAAGATTTTCATTTGGATTGTGTGGAATGCTTTGTGAGGCAAAGTTTGTCTTACTCAAAAAGAGAAAATATTTCATGGAGGTTAGGGTCACGCTCCAGACTTTCCATTAAAAACTGAAAGTCCTTGGAAAATAATGTGAAAGACTTCCCCCTGAATGTTTCTATTTCCCTCCTGGGCCTTCTCTACATGTGGTTAAGGACATTTAAAATAATCCTTCTCTGTGGTTCTCTACGGGCAGAAGAAGGCAATGGTAAATCTCTTACCTCAAAACCCCTATGATGACAAATAAGTGGGTTCTAGATCAAAAAGTCCCTAGCAATTAAAATGATAAAACTGAGACTACCATACTCTGGTCATATTATGAGAAGACAAAAGTCACTGGAAAAGACAATAATGCTACGAGAAGTTAAAGGCAGCAGGAAAACAAGAGGACCCCACATGAGATGGATGGACTCAATAAAGGAAGCCACAAAGGCCCTAGGTTTGCAAGCCCTGAGCAAGGCTGTTAATGATGTTTTGGAGGACATTAATTCATAGGGTCATCAGAAGTCAGAAGTGACTTCATGGCACTTAACACACACACACACGAAATGTCATTTAAGGGTGGGGGGATGGCAGCCTGCTAATGGTAATATCCAGGGCTATTTTGGGGCAGGAACGCACAGGAACGGAGTTCCGGCTGGCTCCCGAGTTGGCCACACCCAGCAGGAACGTATTAGCATAACAGGCCACACCCAACAGCAGAAACTCATTAGGATTGGCTACATTAGGGGTGTGTGGCCTAACATGCAAAGGAGTTCCTGCTACAAAAAAAAAGCCCTGGGTAAGGTAAACAGAATAAGAAGCAAAAGGTTACTTCTGGTATTAGGGTGTTGCCTAATATGCTAATGAGCTGTGCTGTCAGGGTGTGGCCTAATATGCTAATGAGTTCCTGCTGGGCTTTGTCTACAAAAAAAGCCCTGGTAATATCTAAATAAGCTCTTGGGACTCCTCAGACCTACCAGGCACCGCAAGAAACAGTCGGCACTTGGGAGTGACACAAAGAGGAACTGTTTTTATACAAAGGCGGCTATTGCAATGGAACAATGTCACTGTTTCTTGGCCCTTCAGCACCCACCAGTTTTCTCTGCAGGTTGGCAGCAATATTACAGCTTGGCCTTCTATTTGGATAAGACGGAATGGTGTATGTCAGCAGAAACCAGGTTAATAGACAGTAGTTGTAGTATGGGATTGAAGGCTGGGGACAACTGGGCACTGCATCCAATAACACTTTAAAAATTAGTGATGATGAAACTTGCAGAATGGTGCCCTCTGGCATTGTTAACAAGAAAATAAAGAGCCGCACCAGTCACAGGAGATAAAAAAATAAGGCCAAGCCCTATGGTGCAGAATCAGATGGAAATATATTTTATTAGTTAAATTTCCAGAAATTCCCCATGCATTTTGTCAACAGGCTTTGTCAGGGGAATCTGTTCGTCTTGTAGTCATTCTTCAAAAAGAGTACCATTGGCCTTGGCATTTTTTTAAATCTCCTGTGGTCTCTGGCACTGAAAATAAACAGCAGCATATTGACTGTAAGAATTAAAGGTTGCACAATTTGTGCAAGTTGGGAAATAATACAGAAATCAACCCTTGTAAACATCTCAAACACGACTGTAAAGATGCCACCGTTGTGGTGGAGGTTACATACTCTGATATTGGTATAACATTATAGTATTTAGAGTTACATGAAAAGGAAATATTTTCAAGCTAAATTGTGATCCTGAAGGGACTGCCAATGTTCTTAGTAACTTTTTATAGCTAAATTTTGACCAACTGGTACATTAAAAACAGGTTGCTTACCAGTAACTGGTGATCTTCGAGTGGTCATCTGTGCATTCACACCAATGGGTCTAGTGCGCCTGCGCTGGATCAAATCGGTGCTGTAGCAAGCTCTCTACAAGGATTTTCGCGCCCATCCCCTCAGGCAAGCGCAGGGCCCACTGCGCATGCCCAAGGGGGCGGGCGCGGACATCCCACCAGTTCCTTCAAATTACCGCCGCATATCATCATCCAACCAGAAAGCCAGAAGCTGACAGCAGCGGGGAAGGAGGGTGGGTGGTGTGAATGCACAGATGACCACTCGAAGATCACCAGTTACTGGTAAGCAACCTGTTTATCTTCTTCGTGGTCTCTGTGCTTCACACCAATGGGAGATTAGCGAGCAAAAGCCTACCTGGTGGCGGGTGCTGGCAGGACAACTATTGCGTGGCTGAAGACAAAACCTGACGTCCCAGCGATGGAGTCATGCTTCTCCTGACGTCAATGGCATAATGCTTGATAAAGGTATTCGGCGTTGCCCAAGTAGCCGCCGAACAGATGTCTTGCAGCGAAACTCCCTTAAGAAAAGCAGTCGAGGTCGCAATGGCTCTGGTGGAATGAGCCCTAATACGACCTGGAAGCGGTTGGTTAGCAAGCTGGTAGCACAACTGAATCAATCCAACTATCCACCTAGATAAGCGTTGAGCTGTAATAGGGGTGCCTTGTCGGGAGGCAGCGTATGAAACGAAGAGATGTGGATCTCGTCTGGTCAACTGCGTCCTCTGAAGGTAAAATAAGATAGCCCTCCTAACATCCAGATTGTGGAGGAGCCGATCCTCAGCAGACACAGGGTTTGGAAAAAAATTTGGTAGGAAGACTTCAGCATGTAAGTGGAATTCCGACACGACCTTAGGGAGGAAAGCGACGTCCGGCACTAACCGTATCCCGTCCGGAAGTACCGAAAGATAGGGTGGATCATGCCTAAAGGCTAGGAGTTCTCCCACCCTACGTGCCGAAGTAATAGCTGTTAAAAAGGCTGTCTTCCAGGCTAAAAATCTGAGCTCACAGGTGGCGAGAGGCTCAAAGGGCCTCCTTGTCAACTGGCGTAAGACAAGGGGAAGGTCCCATGGAATAACAGGGGATTTAACAGGAGGGTGCAACCTTAACAACCCTTTCAAAAAACGTTTGGTAACAGGATGCGTAAATAACGTGCACCCATCAATCTGAACATGAAATGCCGATAGTGCGGCTA